CCACCGTCTCGCTGTGCCCACTGACCTCTTTCAGAGCTGGAGAGACAGAGGGACCTGGATTCATCCTCCTGTGAGGACACCAGTCTCACAGGGCCCCCTCCTAGGACCTCAGTGAACTTAATTAGCCTCTCATGTCCCCCATTTCCAATAAGGACAAGAGCCTGAAGAGGATCAGATATGCCACTCCAAAAGATGCTAAATTATTTTAACCTTAAAACAACCAAGAATCACCAGATGCAGGGAAAAAAAGCCTTCCTGAGGCCCCTGATCTGACTAAAGGCATCAACTTTGGTACCTCCCCCTCTCCCAGGGGTTCACAGCCCTGGAGGCGCAGAAGGGTCTCTCACTTGGGTGGACAAACATCATCACCAACCTTCTCAAAGGACTCACTGTCCTTCCCTTAAAAGTTTTTCTCCTCCCTCCCTCGCTCCTACCAAGAAGGTCCATGTGCCTCTCACCATTTAAGAAGCCAGCTCCCTCTTTTGCAGGCTCCATGTACATAAAAAGAAACCATTTCTCCCAGGACTCTGTCTTTTCTCAGTTTAATCCATGGGTCTGCAGAAATGGAACCAAAGAGGGTAGGGGGGGAAATTTCTCCCCTATATTCTTTTGCCTATAAATTTAAAGGGGACAAGGGAGGAGGAAAGACATGATTCAGTTCACAGCAGTCTCCAAGCTCCCCCACTGACCAAAACCCTCGCCCACACCTTTGAAGCCAAGGGAAGGGCCTGGCCTTGTCAGAGAACAGGGAAGAGGACAGAGGAAGGAACCCTGGACAGGAGTTTCCCCCTCCCCCTCCCCTTTCCCCTGGGACCTCCAGCACCTCCAGTCTGAAGCTCTCCATTTGGGTCTTTGAAGGTCTGTTATTTCTACTGACTGAACCTGAACCCGGGTGAACCTGAAGTTCAGCTGTGTTCCTCCTGGGGTTCGCCTCTTATGGAGGTGTTGGGAGGGCCTGCCTGCAAAGAGTTTGGTTGCAGGAGAGGCTAGGAGCCTCTAGGAGAGGACCCAAAGAGGACCTGTGGCCCAGGGCAAAATCTCCAGGTCCAGCCAGGCTTACTAGTGCATGCCCGCAATCCCAGGGGCTCCGGAAGCTGAGGCAGGAGGATGGTGAGTTCAAAGCCAGACTAAGCAACTTAGGGAGGCTCTAAGCAATTCAGTGAGACCCCATCTCTAAATAAAATATAAAACATGGGGTGGGAATGCGGCTCAGTGGTTAAGCCTCCCTGAGTTAAAAAAAAAAAAAAAAATCTCAAGGTCCCTCTGCTCCAGATAACCCTGGACCTAGTTTTTAAGGACTCCTGCCAAAGTCACAAGGAAAAAAGGCAGAGTGAAGAATCCAAAGGCCTTTTTCCTAAACTCTCTCCAGAATCCTGCTTGGAGACAAGAGAATCATAAACCTGGGAGACGGGAGAGACGGCAACCGGCAACCCTCACCCCAGAGCACACTCCTCGGCAGGAAGCCTGGCCCTGGGGACCTTGCTGTGCACTGCAGGAGATGGTAATGATGGCAGCAACAGAAAATGGCTCCCACCCCCTCAGGACTGATGCAATTGGCAGCAAAAATGGCCCTAGATTGCCAGATTACCAGGGGAAGCCTGGAAGGAGACAGAGCCAGGAGCTGACTCTCCTACCCGGCTGGGCTGCAGCAAGCCACAACCTCACCCAAACCCTCTCCCATCCAGGACCAAGTGGAGGGTCCTCCCAGAGGGCGTTCCCACTTCCTGCGCCCCTCCCTCTCGGTCCAGGGACACCTCCCCTCCTCAGCAACTCTCTTCTCCAGACCCTTTGCCTTTTCCATTTCTCAAGCCACTGAGAGGCTCCCCCCAGGTGTGGGGAATTGTGAGGGCGGGCAGAGAAAGGACCCCCCAGCCCTGTGCATTTCCAGCCTGCCCTGGGCCACCACCTGTCCCACAGTTGGTCCCGCTCCTCCTCCCTCGGCCTCTCCCTCTCCTCACCTCTCCCCTCTTTCCCCACCACTGCCCACAAATGCTCTTCATTTCTTACGCAGAGCTGTGTCACTGCCACCTGAGTGAAGGGACCCCCCTCCTCTCCCCTGTGGGGCATCAGCAGCTACAGTCCCCTGTGCTGATTTTCCAACTTCTCCCCACAAGCATGCACTAATTCACGCTTTAAAAACAAGTGAAGCGAAATATTCACATCACCTTAACATCACTGGGGACCCCAGGATGGTTTTCACTCCAAGGGACCTTCCTGATGGTCACAGCTGGGGGGAGGAGTGCCACTGGTAGTAGGTAGAGGTCATTTTGCGATGCACAACAAACACAGCCCCCCACAGCAGAGCACCACAGGCCCCAGTGCTAATCAGCCTGCAGTAGGCCTCAGAGGGCGGAAACTGAGCCTGTCTCTCCTCCTAGGGTTCTAAGTTGGACCAATGAAAGAAAGTCACTTCTTCACTTAGCAAAATAGCAACAGACCCAACTAGGGCATCAGGGAGTGCTTCCTCAGATCCTAAAAACCCCTCTAAGGTAAATAACTGTCCAGTTTTCACCCCTCTTTTAAGGGTGAGGCCTAAAGGAGTAAATAATTTGCCAAAGTCACACAGAGAGCAGATGACAGACCCAAGGTGACCTGTGTCAGGCAAGGAGGAGGTCTTGCCAACAATCACGCTTGGGTCCTGAACTTGCCACACGCAGATAGTGTCTTCTTTCTGCCCAGTTGCTGTGCAAACAATATCTCCCCTGTATTATTTGACCTATGAATTCAAGGGGGAAAAGGGACAGGGAAAGGTGTTAAAGGAAACATAAACTTTGGCCAAGAAGTTTCATGCCAAATAGTGAAGGGCGATGTTTTATTTTGTAAAGAGAATTTCAAAACCGTGTTTCATTCAGGAGACTTGTGTACTGTCCTTTTAAAATTAATTAATCAATCATGTTTTTTGGTGCACTAAGTATATTTCTTTTTTTTTTTTTTTTTTTTTGGAAGTGGAAATTAAACTCAGGGGCACTTGGCCACTGAGTCACATCCCCAGCCCTATTTTGTATTTTATTTAGAGACAGGATCTCACTGAGTTGCTTAGGGCCTCACTGCTTCTGGGGCTACCTTTGAACACATGATCCTCCTGTCTCAGCCTCCCGAGCTGCTGGGATTACAGGCATGTGCCACCACACCCAGCAACTTTAAAAAAAAAATAGTTTTAAAGGTGTACTTTAAATATGAGGGAGAACAGCAGGCAGACCCAGGGAAGTTCACTGGCGAATTCTACAAAATATTTCAAGAAGAATTAACACTGATTGTATATAATCTTTCCAAGAAGTAGAATAGAAAGGAACACTTCCTAGTCCATTTCATGATGCTATTATTATTCCAATACCAAAACCAAATACAGGAGTAAAAAGAAAACTATGGCTGGGCTTTGTGGAACTCACCTGTAATCCCAGCAACTCAGAGGCTAAGGCAGGAGGATCGCAAGTTCAAGGCCAGCCTCAGCAATTTAGTTAGACCCTAAGTAACTTAGAGAAATCATGTCTCAAAATAAAAATGAAAAGGGCTGGGAGTGTAGCTCAGTGGTAAAGCACCCCTGAGTTCAATTCCCAGTACTAGAAAGAAAGAAAGAGAGAGAAGAAAGGAAAATTATGTTTTCCCTCATTTATCCCTAATTTATATAGATGCAAAGATGTTCTCTCTCTCTCTCTCTCTCTCTCTCTCTCTCTCTCTCTCTCTCTCTCTCTCGGTATCAGGTACTGAACCCAGGGGTGCTTAACACTAGCCACATTCTCAGCCCTTTTTATTCTTCTTCTGGGACAAGGTCTCACTAAATTGTTTAGGGCCTCCCTAAGTTGCTGAGGCTAGTTTTGAGCTCACAATCCTCCTGCCTTAGTCTACTGAGCCGCTGGGATTACAGGCATGCACCACCATTCTTGAAATCACAGAATTATGAAAATGGAGAACGTGTTCATGGTTGCTGGGGTTCAAGAGGAAACAGGTGTGACTCTAAATAAGGGCAATAGGGGATTCTTGAGATGGTACCAACATTCTCCATCTTCACCATCAATGTCTCTCCTGGTTATGATGCTATTCAATAGTTTTGCAAGGTGTTACCACTGGGAGAAACTAGGCAGTAAGTACAGGGATCTCTGTATTGTTTCTTTTATTTAATTAATCATCACTTTATTTCCAAACTATATTCCAAGACAAAACAAAATAGGAATGAAATCATATTTACTAAGTCCTCTGTATTATTTCTTACAACTGCATGTGAATCTATAATGATCTCAAAATAAAAAGTTTTATTATTAAATATACATATAGCCGGGCATACATGCCTGTAATACCAGTGCTTGGGAGGCTGAGGCAGGAGGGTGGAAAACTTGAGGACCGTTTTGGTAACTTAGTGAAATGTCATTTCAAAACAAAATTTTAAAAAAGGGCTGGACATGTAGCTCAGTGGTAGAGTGCCCCTGGGTTCAATCCCCAGTACCAAATATATATATAATATACATAATATATATAATATACATAATATATAAAATATAAATTATATAAAATACTTTATACAAATATATATATATTTAATGAGAGAGCGCCCATGTGTGTTGCTAGGAATTGAAGCCGGGGCTCATGCATGCTAAGCATGTGCTGTACCATGGAGCTTCCCTGCCGCCCCCCGCCCCCAGCCCTATATATATTTGGAGAGAGGAGGCATTCACCCTAAGTTATTTCCAGAGCCATGGTCTCACAGAAAGAGCAGCCCTTTGAGCTTTTGGAAAAGGTAAGAACGAAGGGCCAGAGAGGTAACTCCCCGTGAAAGCTAATCAGCACCCACTCACTGAAAAGAAGCACCTTTAAAGCAGGATGGGGTGACAAGCCACCCTCTGTCCTGAGGAGCAGGACTGCTGATCCTCATAAAACCAACTGTGGACATGGGAACTGTAATGGGAGAAGAGTGTGGCAACCGGGCGGGGGTGCCGTCAGGACTAACAAACCGAAAGCCAGGAGTTCCCCTGGGATCTCAGGAGCCCGAGGGCAGGACAGGGGTGTTCCCGAGCGGTGACCAGAGCAGAGCGCGGGGCAACACAAACACCCAGCCGCCGGCACCAGCTCCCACCGACGAGGCTGGCTCACTGGGCGGGCACCGCGGGGCCAAAACACACCCTCTGGGAAATCCAGTTTCCTTCGCTGGGATCTGTGTTCATCGGGTCGTTTCTGGTCTTAATTTGATTTCGGATGGTTTCCTCGCTGGAAGAGAAAGCCCTAATGGGGCCCAGACCACGCAGTGATTCAGTTTTCTTCTTCCCTTAGGAACCTCCAGTGTGTGCTGGCGTTGGGTGTTTGCTCCAAATCATCTTCTCTCTCAGGCCCAACTGCATTTGCCCCCAGCAGGAGAGCAGTCCCCCTGAGCAATGGATTAAGCCAACAAACATTTATTAAGAGCCGGCTGTCTACTTGGAAGCAAGCAAGGACTGAAGGTAAGATGACCACTGAGATCTGACTTGTGTCCCAGTGAGTGTTAGTCCCCGGGTGCCACTGGACCCTGGGCTGCAGGACAGCTGACAGTGTGGCTCCAGAATCAGACCAATGGGTTCAAACCCTGGTTCCAACACTTCCTATCTGCATGACCTTGAGCAATGGAGCCAACCTCCCTGCCCTTCAACGTCCTCATCCACAAATAAGAAATGCCTTACCAGTGAGTTAACCCAAAGTAGAGTACAAGATCCATGGTGAGCATTTGTCAAATGAGAATTATTATTACTTTGATCATCATTCTCATAACCAAAATGTCTGGTTTTTCTTTTTCTTTTTCTTTTTTTTAAACAAATATACAGATATCATTTATTTGGTCCCTAAGTACAGTATATGCATTACTTCAGTTTTACACAATATCAGCTATAAGAAACATAAAACTGCAACAATACACAGAAACTAGTTTCCTGCTTTTGTATCCTGTTGTTAACCACTAGGCAGGTACGCCTGGGCTTGCAGGGTGGCGGATGAGCACTGTGCCCCTTGGATGACTTAACACTCCTCCAAAGCTGGTTTTGTGTATGTTTCAGATCAGGCCCGCCAGAACCGCCAGCCAAAATCCCTGAGTCACTCTGATGCTCTTTTTAGGTGACCTAGAGCAAACTGCTCATGAAAATACCCACTTCTCCACCCAGAGGTGTTCCCACCTGCCACTTTGGGCACACGGGATGTCTGACCTCGACAGTGTGCTCCTCACCCCTCACCCGGCAGTACCTACCAGCTCTGCACGCACCGAGGTGCAAACTCACTGGTTACACCAGGACATGACTCATCCCTCCATTCCCAAATTTTGTAGTGTTGGGGTGGGACCTAGGGCCTCGGCCACGCTAGGCCACGCTAGCTACCCCACCACTGAGCTTCACTCCCAGCTCCTAGCGTATTTCAAGCTGGTCATTGAGAAAAACTGCAGACCTCTGGCAGACACAGGAATAGCTCTGGAAAACTGCTCCTTTGTAGAAAAAGAAATTTGTGTCTATCTGTAGTAGCAACCAGAAGATACCTGCAGAGGCTTTTACATCCTACAGCCCCCTTTCTGCCTGGGAAGATCTTGTCATAGGAAGAAGAGAACAGGTGGCAGTTACCTGGGAGACTTTGTATGCATAACCAAAGGACCTTCACTGACTACACCTCCGGCCCTCTGCTTTACCACAGAGGAGACATAAACCTTCAGGGTGCTCATTTTCATTCATGTGATGGCCTCATGCACAATAATGCAATTTTCTTCTTCTACTTCTTATTTATTTGTTTATTTTTGTAGTGGGTATTGAACCCAGGAGTGCTTTACCACTGGCTTATATCCCCATTTCTTTTTATTTTTTTGAGACAGTGTCTCACTAAATGGCCCAATCTGGCCTCCAATTTGTAATCCTCCTGCCTCAGCCTCCCAGATTATAGACATGTGTCACCATGCTCAGTCTGGCTCGCAGTCTATAAAACCATGAAGTCTCTGGGCTCCAGATCATTTTAGACACACACAGAAGAGCAGAAATGTTCTTTTTTTTTTAAACATATTTCTTTTAGTTGTCAGTAGAAATTTATTTTTATTTATTTATATGTGGTGCTGAGAATCAAATCCAGTGCCTCACACATGCCAGGCAAGCACTCTACCACTGAGCCACAACCCCAGCCCCCTGTTTGGTTTAGTTTTAAACGGACACTTCATCTCACAGGCTCAGCTGCCCACCAGGAAGAGTCTCATTGGAAGGTTCGTTGCAGTGTAAACCTAGCCTCCAGCTCCTACCCCCCCCATCACCCACCCCAACCCACCCTCCACCCCACGCCCCCCACACCCCCCTCTGCTTTTCCTTTTCAGGTGCTGGGACCCAACAGAGGGAGCCTGCCCTTCCCAGGGACCATGGGGCTCCCTGCAGCAGAAATGCACTGACATCTGCCTCTAGCCCTTGAGGTTCCAGAAAACCTGAGGTCCTTTATTGACCAAGACGTCCTATCTCATACATTTGTATTTATTCTGCCTCTCAAAAGCCCCAGCAGCTGGACGGGGGTGGGGTGGGGGACATGGGGAGCATCCACATTTGTAACAAGTACCCCGCTACTAAAATCTAATCCTGATTAGGAGAAATACCCATGCAGCGTCTCAAGATAAGTGAAAAGTAACTTAAATCTGTCCGAAGACATGCATCTGTCTTTGTTTAGGTACTGGGGAGGGAACCCCAGGGCCTGGCGCATGCGCTCAACCGCTGAGCTGCACTCCCAGTTCTATTGATTTTATATTTTGAAACAGAGTCTCCCTAGACTGCCCTCAGAGTTGGAATTCTCCTGCCCCAGCCCTTCCAGGTGGCTGGGGTGACAGATGCATCACAGCACCCAGCAGCTTTCTTAAAAAAAAAAGGGGGGGGGGAGGAGGGGGGAATGTCAGAGAGAAAGAGCAAAACCCGTTTAAATCGTAGGCCTACCCCTTTCCTGGGCGTCTGCCCCAGGATTTGCCCCTTGAGCTACTCTTTTCTTCTTAAGTAGCTCACAATTTCTAGAATAAAGCTATCAAGGCTTCCTTTACTTAGCAGCCTGGATGGGTTGAAAGAAACAGAATCTTCCCAGAAGTTCAGGGGAAAGTTAGGTGTATACTGTCGGAACTCATGAAAGGTGCTGTGACATGCAGAGCGGAGAGTCTTGGAATCAAGGTCTCTCTGACCCACTGCCCACCTCCTCTGTCCATCCTTTGTGTCCTGCAGGCACAGGAAAGGAGTGATATGCCCTTATCGGCCTGAAGACTGGACCCACCGGAGAGAACCTGTTACAAGTCAATTCATTCTCCAGGTCCATTCATTCTCCCTGCTAATCATTTACCACCCTCCACACTGAGCCTATGAAGAAGGGTGTGTATGCATCGACTGCAGAGGGTTGGTCGGCGATGACGCTCCTGTAATCCTCCCCAGTCCACTTGATACATTTGTGTGTCTTTTCTGCTGTGCATCTGTCTACTTAGTTCCCGTGACCCTCCAGAGGGGTCACAGAGGGGCAGGGGACGTTTTCCCTCAGCCCCTGCATTACTCCAGCGTTCATTCCACATATTAGGGGGAGCGGTGAGAGGCAGTTATCATCAGATGGCCATCTCCTGTCAACAGGACTACACGTTTGCCCTTGAACTTGACCAGCAACTCAAATAAGTTCTTATTTTATAAAAGGCAAGGAGATAGGTGTTTAAATGAGAAGGAAAAAAGAAAGAGGAAGAGGAGATGAAGAGACGAAAGGAGAGGAAAAGTCGGGGAGGAAAGGGGAGGAGTGTGTCTCCTGTTTCCTGAGGGAGGAGCCACCAGCAGCATTCACGAGGTCACATTTCCCCTGCTTTCTGGGGATCCCAGAACAAGGTCAAGGGCAGATGACATTGCACTTTTTCAAAACACCTTTCTGAGGACACCTCCTGCACTGTGTCGAAACACATGAAGTTCTCTGCATGTAAATATTTTTCCCCAGCAATAGACAGATACCCCACCTTGGTATTCTTTAGGAGGGGTGCACATAAGATGGACCGAGTGATGGGTGGCTGCTAGCTTGGCGGTATCATTTTTATATCATGAGTGAGCACACATTTACATAATTCGGTTCAACAAATACTGATTGAATATACATGCATTATATAAATATGTATCAATACACAGGAGGACCAAATGAAGGAAAGGTGGTCAGAATCCTCGGTATGTAGGAGCCGTCTCGATTCCTGCAGTACAGTTGGGCTGCCCAACTTTGGGAACAGGTGTCATTTCAGTACCATCACATTATTCACCCAGCCCTCCCTGGGTCCATCCCTGATGCCCCAGCACAGTGGGTAAATAAAATCTGTGCTCAGGCATTAAGTCAGCATGAATCACATGCCACTGAAAAGACACATAAGATACAGGAACTACATCTTTATTTCCAAACATGTGTGTCATGAGAGACCCCTAAAGAGATTACAGAAACCAGGCGAAAATGTTAGTTTTTTTGTTTTACTTTGTTGTTCTGTGTTTGTTTGCTTGTTGTTGTTTTGGGGGAGGTTTGGGGTTTTTTTTAGATTTTTTGTTTTGTTTTTATACTGGGGATCGAACCCAGGAGTGCTTGTAAGTGAACTACATTCCCCGTCCTTTTTTATTTTCAGACAAGCAGGAGGATTCCCAAGTTCAAGGCCAGCATGGATAATTTAACAATACATTGTCTCAAATTTTAAATAATAATAATAATAATAAAGGGCTAGGAATGTGGCTCAATGGTAGGGTGCCCATGAGTTCAATCCTTAGCATCACAAAGAAATTTTGTTGAAATTTTGTAGAAATAGATATAGTTTTACAAGCACCGTCGATGAGAATAACAAGCACAGAATGAATTTAATACATGTATGATTATTCTCATAGGAGGTTGGTGGTGACAATATTCTTTTCCAGTTCTGGAGATCAAACCCAGCACCTCACATATGCTAGGTTAGCACTCTACCACTGAGCTAGCTACATCCCCAGACTTGGTAAAAATAATTTTGAATTATTCTGTTTTCCCTAACACTCCCCATTAATGGACACTGACTCTTAACTTTTATTAAATAAAATTTGGAGAAGGCTATTGTTTAGGACTGAGCTCGCCATTAGGCCCAACAGGCCGAACCAACATGGAGACAATATGCTGGAGTTCTACATGACCAAGTCCAAACTGAGTTGTTTATCTGACCTTCCAAGAAATCGGGAGAGAGATAAGAGTTAGATTCCCAAACAAGCCATATCTAGCCAACGAGACAGGGAGGTCCCCTCTGCTTTAACCTTCAGGAAGAAAATGACTACAAAATGGACAATCTGTGGGTTGTTTCTGCTTTCTTTAGCCCGCTGTTGTCTACAAAGCCAACCCCTGGGCTCAGCTCATCAGAACACCCACCCTGTTCCATGGAATGAAGTGTCGCCCAATTCTGGAATCAAAAATAAAGCCAATGAAGATCCTTAAATCAAACTTGTTGCAGTTTTGTCTTTTGACGCTTCTCAGAAATCCAAGTTCATGCATCCTAGGCTATAAGCTCTCCCAGCACAGAGGGGATTTCTCTTTAACTACCGACAGAGTCTGGTACATAACAGGAGCTCAATAAATGCTTGTGGCCTGAATAAATGGCTCCATTTCTTGTCGACATGGGACTGACTGGAGGGAGAAAGTTAATGAGAAGGGCCCAGATGAATGGCGGCCAGGCTGAGGGGAGCTCTTTGCTCATCTCCCTGGTACGCTAACTTTCTGACAAGTCTCTGAAGAGGGCTACAGGGCCCCAAGGCAATCCTCTGAGCATCACACCCACGGAGAACACTGACCCATAACCTGGGCTAAAGGACAACCCCTGGGTTCTAGCCTCACATAAAAATAAATAAAATAAAGGTACTGTGTCCAGCTATAACTAAAAAATAATTAAGGAAAAAAAAAAAAGAGTACAGAAGCCCGGGTCAGGTCACTGCCGCAGAAGCTGGAGACTGTCATTCTGTGACTCGGGCATCTTTTTCCATATTCCTTATCAGCCCTGAAAGCCAGGGCCATTACGGCATTACATCATGATGGGCGCATTACAATTTCCTAGATTACATCTTATCTGACATTAGTTACATTTTAGGGTTGTTGCTTCCTGGCACTTTAATTTCATAAGTAAGCTATCTCCGGATCACAGAGGGGGACGCGTTCCAGCCACTTCCATCCGTTCCCCGAGCCTCATTTCCAGAAACTACCATTTCCTTCCCCGGGCTTAGATTTTCAAGGTGTGCTATCTGCCAGTTCCTCGGCCTTCTCTCCATTAACTCTAATAGGTAATGATAATGTTCTTTACCTCAATTATTTTGTTTTCTATTTCTGGCGCTTGGCATGACAGCAGTGACAGGCAGACTCTCACGGAGTCAAGCGGGCAGTCCCATAGCCAAGTGCACTTACAGCAGAAGGATCATCGAGAGCCGAAGGAATTTTTCTTATTGTTATTAGTCTTAAGTACAGGGATTAGATATCGGAGAAAGAAACATCAAAGATGTGACTCGGCAACATTACCATATAATCCTCAAGGTTAACAAGCATAAAGAGGAAAGAACGCGTTCTCACAAAATGGAATAACTGACCCTCATTTTATATCCTGCCACTGATGAGTGAAGGAAAACCTTGGATAGAGTCGATGAGGAGTGGATGGGCACTTCAATCACTGTCTGTTTGACTTTCCTCCACTACCAGTTGGCGGGCTGCGGCCCAGCAAGAAGGGAGGGAGGTGGGGACTTAGCTCAGTTCAGAGAATTCTCAGAAAATCCACCCCTGGGCTGGGGCTGCAGCTCAGAGGTAGAGAGCTCCCCTGGCATGAGCGAGGCCCTGGATTCCACCCCCAGCATTCTCATGCACAAAAGTCAAATGCTGTGACCAGGCCTGCAGTCCCAGCTACTCCAGAGGCCAAGGCAGAAGAATCGTGAATCTGAGGCCAGCCCGGGTGACATAGTCACAATGAGACCCTGTCTCAAAAATTTAAAAATTAATAAATAAATAAGGCTGGGGTTGTGGCTCAGTGGTAGAGCGCTTGCCTAGCATGTGTGAGGCACTGGTTTCAATTCACAGAACCATATATAAATAAATAAAATAAAGGTCCATTGATAATGTTTAAAAAGTATTAAAAAAAAAACACTCCTATGTTACTTTGCTTTTTGTTACTGTAATAAATACCTGAGATAAAACAACATGATAAGAGAAAAGGTTTGTTTCCAGCTCTCAGAGTTCTGGAGGTTTCAGTCCATGACGGATTGGCCGGTGGCAAGGCAGCACACCACGGGGAGCGCAGGGTGGAACAAGCTGTTCACCTTGTAGCCAGAGCACAGGAGAGAAAAAGAGGAGGAGACTGGGGTTCCACAATCCCCCATGAGGGCACATCCTGAATGATTAGAAGACCTCCCACTAGGACCCACCTCTTAGATCCACAACCTCCGCATCTCGCCATGGGCCATTCTCTAAATCATAGCAACTCCCTTATAGCACATAGCCAAAGACAAAGGAAAAAAGAAGGAAGCTAGGGAATGAAGAAATTGAGATTATTCAAACTGAGTTTTAGCCAGGCATGGTGGTACACACCTGTAATCCCAGCCACTTGAGAGATTGAGGTAGAAAGATTGCAAGTTCAAGGCCAGCCTGGGCAACTTAGTGAGAATCTATCTCAAAGTTTAAAAAGGATGGGCATGTACCTCAGTGTTAGAACACCCCTGGGTTCAATGGTTCAATCCCCAGGGCTATAAAGAGAGAGAGAGAGAGAGAGAGAGAGAGAGTTTTAAGGCATAGTTGTGTTAAATCTCTTCCAGGGGCAAACAAGCATCGTATTAGAAGTACTTTCTGCAGAACTATCTTTCTAGTCCTCTGTCTTTATTTCTGTCATGATTCTATTGGCCCCAAATTTAGGTCAACTGTTTGCAGTAGACTGCATCAAACTTACGGCTTTTTTTCTGTATAGATAAAGAGGAAGATGTGTTCATTCCCATGTACTACAAAAAAAATGGACGCTTTCCATGGAATTTTTTTTCTGAATTTATTTGTAAATCAAGCCCTGCGGGAAAATACAGTCATGGGTTAAACGTACGGAGTATGCATTCTGTGTGTTAGCTGTTGGTAGTAAAGTAGTGGTGTTAGACTTTATTATTCAATGTCCCCAAATTTTGATGGCTGAATTTAGATAAAGGGATTGAACGCTCAAAGCATAACAAAAATAAAATAAAATAACATTGGCTTAAAAAAAAAAAGTGCTCCAAACATGCACAGTCTAATGAGGCTAATATGAAGAGATTTTTGAGAGGGCAGATGTAGGGTATGATTGTGACCTCAGATGACCTGGCAGCACTGAGGATCTGGCTAACATGGGGGAAGCCATGATTTTTTTTTCCACAATATTGGGGATAGAACCCAGGACTTGGCGCACGCTAGGCAAGTATTTCACCACATCGCCAACACTTTTTATTTTTTCTTTTGAGACAGGATTACACTAAGTTGTCCAGGCTGACCTTGAACTTGTGATCCTCCTGCCTCAGCCTCCCATGTAACTGGGATTTCAGGTGCACACCACCAGGCACAGTTTCCTGGGACCATGAATACAAGGTAACTCTTGACCCCCACCTTATGTGTTGTTTGCACTGAACGTCTGTCCCCAACTCCTTGTGTCCGCCCCGGCCCCCACCAGCATCCATATGAGAGAGACTAGAATACTAAGTTGCATTTCTCAGATCCTCACAACAGGATTGGGGGTGTTCTGAAAGCTCTGCCAGTGAGATGCCCTCGTGTGACATGGGAAAGGTGGAGGGAAGCGGAGGCCGTCTTCTTCGGGAGCCTGGACAGTGGACAAGCAAACTCATATCCAGGGTTTGTAGCACTTCCCACCATCTGGACATCAGCTTGCTGCTGTGAGGCAGGGTGGACATGGAAACTCAGGTAGTGGTTCCTTCCAGCTGAATTCCAAGTGTGACCCGGAGCCCGAAAGTCCAGGCTGGGGATGTAGCTCAGCGGTGCCGTGCTCTTTCAGCATGCGCAACACACACTCACACACACTCACACACACACACACATCTTGCCTAAGGTCCAGTGGTGTCCTGGCTTCCACTGCTTCACAACCTCACAACTTTATATCTAACTCCTGCATTAAGTTCCCAATGCTAGAACTCCCTAGAATGGCTTCTGATTCCTGCATCCAACCCTGATGAATATGTGTGTGCCTTTGAGTGCCAAAACAGAGTAGCCCTGAGCAGTGGGACTGACGGGGAGGGGGACAGTACTCCACCCGCTGTCCTGTGAATGCCCTTGGGGGTGTAAGAGGCACAAAGACACTAAACAGAGTTATTTCCTCTTCTGTTCTCTTTTAATCATTCAGGGAGCGATTGCTGGGCTGGGGTTTGATTTCTTTAACATCTTCCTAATACTTACTAATCCCCTTTATTTGCAAAACGAATAGGTATGGGGCTTTGATCAGGCGACAATACCTAGCTGGAAGGTAAAGACCGTTTCATTTCACGATATTTATTTTGAGCTTTATCTTCTCTGTGTGACAAGTGGCAGAAATTGTCCATTTATGTGCGCGAGAAGAAGGCTCCTTTAAATTTCTGCTTTTCGTTTGGAAGCCTTTCAGATATTAAAAAAGCAGAAAGAGCACTACAATGAGCCTCCGTTTCCCCAACTGAGATTCCACGGCTCTTTACATTTTTCAGATTCTCTTCATCTGTAATTTCCTCTTTATTCAACCACTTTAAAGTAAACCACAGACATGGTGACACTTCACCCTGGAACACTTCAACACGCGATTCCAAAACACGAGCACGTTGTTCTCTGAAGGCCTCCTGCGCACACGCACAGCGGAATTCACCATCTCCTCCCGGTGTCTCGCCCCTGCTCCGTCCGGAGGGTGCTCTCTGTTCAATGAATTCACTGTAAAAACGTGAGATGACTGAAAGAAGGGAGCATCAGAGAGATAACAGTACGCAGTGATTGAGACGTCGTGAGGGTCTGTAAACCTCCAGCCGGAAAACTAATACCGGGAATGGTAGACATGATGGAGCATCCAATCTAGGCCGCCAAGGAAAAGGAAATAGAACAAGAGACGTGGGAATAGAATGGGAGAAAATAAAAGTGGGCTGAGAAATAGGCACCATTCCTTGGCTTAAAAGAAAAAAAAAATGTGATGAGCCTGAGATCAGGGAGGCTAAGGCAGGAGGGTCGCAAGTTCAAGGCCAGCCTCCACAACTTAGTGAGATCCTGTCTCGACATAAAAATGAAAGGGTTGGGGGTGTACCTCAGTGGTAGAGGCCCCCTGAGTTCCATCCCCAGCACCAAAAATAAACAAATAAGTGTGATGGCAAGGAGAGAAGCAGAGGTCCAAAGATTACCAGGGTAATCGGTGTGTCAGAGACGACCTGTGCCTCTGTGGTGGAGCTCTAGAAGTGGCCCATCCAGCTAGAACACCAGCCGTGCCCCTATTTGCT